GGGTGGCTAACCCGTGGGAAGAAAATGATAATAACACAAGAACAATTAACTAGCATTGGATTACATATACAGAGCAATGACAAGGTCGAATTAATGGGATTGATATTAAAAGCTAAATGAGGGGTTCCAGATAACAACAACATCAACAGCAACAAAAAATCTAGCGTAATCCCGTAAATGGAGTATGGGGAGGTTAGTGTGAACGCATACCTTAGCCTACCTAATAGCATACCTTAGCCTACCTAATATTGATAGAGAGTATGTTTTTGATAGACCTTCGGCTCAAGGAACAGTGAAAATAAAGCAACCAAGCAACAAACAATAGTAACAAGAATGTAATATCCTAACAAAAACGAATAACACGTCGTGTAATAATAAAGAACCATGAATAAGAAATGGATCAGAGCATAAAAATAAAAAATAAAATAAAAACGTTGAAGGCATACCCATTCGTGAAAACTCAAAGCTTGATCAATGCTTGTAGATTGGAATGTACAATTATATGATCGAAGCCAGTGTTGCTGTGCGATTTCTATAGACGAAAGAATTTATGCAATATTTACATTAAACCAGTTATTTTAACTTTTAGCATTCACAATTTCCATGTAACCAACCAGGTGAAAAACTGGGGGAAAAAACAAATAATCTTATGAATAGGACGTGCATGGATCGGATCCCATGTCGTTTTATGAAAATCTTCCCCTTTTCCATCGGATGTTCCTACAAAGGGACACGCCAAATGTTCAAAATTAGTTAAAGAAATGTACTTCATGTACGGAGAATTTTTGTCAACGTGCCTAATTATGTTAAATTATTGTAAATTTGATTAGTAACCGGATACTTATGGAGTAACTTTCATCCATACAAATATCAAATGACTTTGATTACGTTATAAAACAATAAAAGAATAAGAAGAGTATTGCAAACAAAAGTAAAGAGAGAATTATTATTGATTTGGGATGATAAAATTCCTTTATTTATAGGGAAAAGTGACTTAGCCACAAAGTAATAAACTCTAAAATCTCTAAAAAATATAGACATTCACCTTAAATACAATTCTGTTTATAGCACTCCCCCTTGAATGTTTATTCAACAGATAATGTGTCTCATTAAAATTTTAACTAAAATAAAACCCAGTGGAAAAACAAATTCTAGTGAAGAAAAAGAGTACACATATCTAACAATACACTTATTGGGTGCCTCGTTAAAAACCTTGCAAGGAAAACTCAGTGGGATAAAACCTTGTGAGGAAAAAAGAGTACAACGCGTATTAACTCCCCTTGATGAGACAATCAATTCACATCTTTGAGCCTTCGCATTTCAATCTTGTGCACCATCTTCAAAAAATTGTTGGTAGAGATTCGATAAACAAATCAGCCACGTTAACTTGAACGAATTTGTTTCACCTTGAAATCATCATTTCTGATAGAGATGTATTATCTTCGTATGATCTTGTTGGAATCGTCATTTCAATATCTTCACATATGGGTAAAGATTTTCGCTATCACATTATCGTGCTTATAGTTATAGCAAGATACAAATGTGCACAAATTGCACTTAGGATGTAGTACTTCATGACCAAGAAATCTATATGGAGCAATTTAAATCCTTCAGGGATTGTCATATAAGTATAGCCAAATAAGCCATATAAATAGACTTTAGATTTATATCAAGTTTTCATGTCATGACGACATATAAAATACATGAAAGTGATTGCACACACCTATTGACTTTATACTTTCGAGTGTTTGAACTATATGTCCAAAACTACATGTCTTTCATATGAAACCAATTCTACTTGAATTGTTTCTCCAGACTTAAAATCCTCATATATATTTAGCTCTATCATAGACGTCGTTGACGAACATTTTATATCGGTTTCAACCTCCTTATTTTTCATAAAGACATAACATAGAGATCTCTTCATTCATATTTTCAGGTACCTGAATCTCTCCTGAGATTTTATGAAGTGTTATGTCATGTGATCTTCTAGATCACTTGCCTCCTTATTATGATCAGTTTGATCATTTGCTCATCTTCTTTATCAAGAATATTATTTGAAACCGATTTGTCTATACGTTTTAAGTGTACCATAGACTTTGTCCTTCTAGGACTTATTCTAATAAGAGCATTTGCAGTGAGAATATAGTTACTTTCTTTGGGTCAGCAAATGTGTATGGCATGCTTTGAAATATATTGCAGATGAATTATCTTTTTATGAATTTCAAGTTCATATTGTTTTATTCTAGGATCTAGGTGTACAAATGATAATTCATACTATGTAACTTTTTTCTCAATTGTTTATCATATCTCCCCCTCATGTTAAAAAAACTAACTTGCTTCCTCAACTTTATAAAAATACCATTATGCGTTATGGTGTTATTTAAAATATATATCGCACATCAATAATAATAAGATAAAATTATTTGGTTCTTGACCCTGAATCACTTGTGAGGGGAGAATGTATTATACTTCGTATATAACGTATATTAAACTGATATAGATAACTTTGTTCTCAGAAGCAATAGTTTAATTATTAAGTGGAGGCACTCAATAAATCATTTTGCTAAACCAATTGTGATGTAAACCAACTTATCAAGATGAACTGTCCTGAATAGAAAATATGAGAATTATGCTCGAAATTAAATTATTGAACAAGTTACCTCGCAAACATTAAGTTGCGGGTTAATAATAATCGCACATGTAACCATCTCATAAATGCATCTTATGTGGTATACATGACAGGTGAATAAGCCCATATTCACCTTTGATGTTTTCAGCATTCATGGGATTCAATCACAATTTTAGTTGGTCTATTAATTAATGAGAATAAACAACATAAGAGAATTCATAAAGAACTTTCTAGTTCTTTAATATTTACCCATGTGAATTCTCTTTCTCTCTTTTTTTTTTTTTTGCTTGCAGATCATACTTAAATTAATATGGCTAAAATTAATTATGTCAACTGAATAAATTATCAATATTGATAAATTTTAGGTTTACACCATGACATGTGCAATTATCAATAAACTCCAAGTTTATTATGATATGAATTTTTATATCAATAACTTCTATTTTATTGTGATATTCTTTTGTTTGTGTAGTACAAACGGGAGAACAAAGCAAGTAGTTTTTCACATACATATTACCTCGCTACAAGTTGTAGTAAAAAAAGATATTATATCTTTCTTTTATTTATAGTCTCAATATAACCAACCGTTTTCGCGAATACTTTAGATACTATATAAGTTTCTTTGAGACTTACTACAACATAATACCTTATTGATTATCAATTTTATTTCTTCAAAATAATATAATTGGCTCTTCTAGAGCTTTCGATTGATTCTGTACTACCACATATTCATCAACATCCATGTGGTGAATATCTCTTTCAAGGAGAAAGTTATA